CGAATCGTATTCTTAAAAAGAGTGTGTTATCGTCGTTTCATCGACAGGCTTCCGCGAAGGCCGATCCCGTTCACTTACGGACACGAACCATTGCATGCGTGTGCAATAGCACGGTAGCCTTCATTTGCCCAACTTGCCACTTTGGCCTTTGAGCTTTTCGTATTATAGTATGTACGTGTACTGTAGGATTCTACGTCTCCGGACTTCTTGTCTGGAAAAAGTTTGTCCAGATACTCGTAGATTGATTGATTGGTTCCTAACAGCTAACAGGAGACAGGAGTACTAAAATGGTTTTGGGCTACGTGACAGCAACTTTTGCAAACTAGGCGAGAAGATGGTTTTTCACTACAGGCTCAACGTCCTTCTGCAGCTGTACGTCTTAGCATTCCAAGGAAACGCTGCATTCGGACTGATGATTTGTGGCGGCAAGCAGCAGCCGAAAAGAAGTATTACCAGTTCTATTGGGATGTCTACACATCAAAGTATAGCGGATATTGCTGAGAATGAAGCTGATCCAGAATCATCGAGGACGTCATGCTTTTGGAAAGGGAAGGGCGAAGAAAGCAAATGGGAAGAACGGATTCGCATCGAAGACTTGTATGTTGGCCAACAACTGTCCGGCCATGTAGTAGAGGATTTCCTGGATGGCAGAACAGGGCCAAAGCTTTTCTTCGAATGTGGGGTGGGCCGTACTTCAAACAGTAAATGGAGTATTGTGCACGGCATGCTGCGTCTACCCAAGTCAAAGTCATCTGTTGCAATAAAACGAGCAGCACGCCTTCGAAGAAAGAAGGCATGTGAGCTCTATGTTTCGCGCATACAACTGGAGTGCAGTCGCTTCGAAGTTTGCACGACACGTGACGAGGCTGAGAAAATTTACAACATGGAAAAGAAACGGCCCATTTCTTCATTGCATGTCGGTGAAGAGGTGACCGGTGTCGTTTCTAAGTTATTGCCATATGGGGCGATGGTCGATGTAGGTGCAAATCGCTTAGGCCTTCTCCATATAAGCACGGTGGCGGAGCTCAATAACAAGTACATCGACAAGGAAAAGGGTTTGGAGGCTGCTGGACTTGAGCGAGGTGCAAACGTCCGACTGTCTGTCGCATCTATTGAGAAACGGAGGCTTTCGCTTCAGTTTACGGAAGACGTGAGAAATGCTTCCCAGAATCTGAACGAAAGCAGTGGTGTGAAGGAGAGTGACAGAAGTCGGCCACCCAACGCCTCAGACAGCATATCGACTACAGAGCTTGCTTCACGGGAAGCGTATGCAACGGAATCACAATCGCAAGTGCTTGTGACGGATGAAGAAGACGAAGATGGGTATTATGATGAAGAGGGAGACTATGATGAGGATAAGGATATCGAAGATTCTCTTGGATTGGGATTTTACTGAAGAATAGCTTCACTGCTAACATTGAGACCGCAGTTGTTTCGGCGAGCTTTTGAACAAATTCAAGATTCACCGTCAAGCGTGTATGTCCCAATATTTCAAAAGATCTTTTTGAATCTTCTTCTCGCCAATAATGTAGCTGACCAATCCCAGATATTGCAAACCGTCTTCTTTTTTAATCTTCTTCACCCAACCATGTAGCTTTTAATGTCCCGCATAATTCAAACACATCTTCTTTTTGAATCTTCTTCACGCCAATAATGTAGCGGAGGCAGATCTTCGTCAGTCCCGTCATCACCCCATCTACCCCCATCCAGGAACAATTTTGGACTATTCAGTGGCATCCAAACATCGTCTTTTTTCGAACAACCGTCCACCCGAATTCTTGCATGGTCCTCCCTCACTTCAACAACTACTCCAGCAAAACAATGTTCGTCCTCTTCGTCCTCTTCACTATCTGAAGAACACGAATCAGCGACGGTTGGGGTAAGACAGAGCACCCGTACATCAGGGTGAAAAGCTTTCCGACTTCCTGGTTTTGCAAGATGCCAAACTTCGATCTTGGATGCTTGCTTCCGTTTTCGAGATTTTGGTTGACGTGAGGTTGTCTGGACTTCAATCCAGATTTCCTTCCTTTGCGAAGTCGATTTTCTTTTCCCAGCGGCTTCGATTGATATTGCAGATTCATGGCTTCGCTCTGTCTTCATTTTCTTCTTCACAACCCGCATCGCCCAATCTTTCCATTGCAATCTCTTCTTTTGCTTTACTTCTTTCTCGTATTTGAGGAGCAATCTCTCAAATCTTTTCATATCTATTCGAACACTGTCTGGTCTACATAAGCAGACATGTGCGAGCTTTCCATATGGAACCCATTCAGGAACAGCAAAGTTCGTTGCCTCGGCTGCGTTGAATCCAGAGTTGAAACCGAAGTGGTAGCCACCGGGGAAAGTTATTATTGCATCTCCAGGATATTGGACTGTCCTTGTGAAATTTATTCCAGCTTTTTTCAGTATCATGGGGGATATTAGACAGCGTTTATGTCGCATATACTCAGAGCACTGTGATTTTGCTTCATGAAAATTGCTATCATAAAACTGTTCCAATCGTTTTGCATCCTCCCCGCCAGCTACCGCATACCATACCTTCGGGCTTCCGGCATGAAGGTAATTTATACTTAGTAGATTCATATCTTCTGAATGCGCACAAAACACAGATCCCCACATCCCGAAGTACAGATATGGTGTGGTCACCCCTGGAATACCATCATCATGGCAATCTTTCTGTTCGGCTTGTAAAAGTTGGAGGCATGATCGCATTTTTGATATATTCCAACCAAAGCAGTCATCGTCTCCGAATAAAGTCCCATTCATGTCCGCACCATACATTGAAGGTTCTTGTGTAGGACCTAGTCGCCTCCAAAACTTACGCTCCAACTCTTCTACAGACAAGTCTGACTTTCCGCCCACTTGGGAAGCAAAGTACTGATCCGCCCGCTTTCGGAATTCAGAAACCTTAATTGGCGACTGGTCGAGAAAAGTAAATTCATAAATACCTCCTATTCCACGAACACATTGCTTTATTGGTGAAGGAAGTGTGATATTTCCGATTGAGGTACCCTCGGCCCAACCTGGACCTCTTCCACTTTCATCGTTTGCTATGCCCGATTTGTCGTTGAATTCAGATGGTAAAGTAACTTTCGCAATACCATTGTTGTAATGAATTGGGGCTCTTTCCAGAAGTTCACGATCTACTCGCGGTGCCTCATTATCCGAATATTCGACGTCTCTCTGTGCCTTTTGAAGAACAACATTTCGGACATAATCAGAGAAGGTTGTGCGTTGAAGTTCTTCCAAGGATGGCTTATGGTGATTGCATGGCTTGGGATTGTTTGCCTTCTTCGAAACGAAGTGATTGGCTTCCTCTTGTACTTGGCGGTCCCGGTTCTTGGCTGGCATCTTGACACTGACGCCTTGTGCTTACTGCGGAATTTGTGTTGCTCATTTTGATTGCGCGTTGCTGTCAGTTGATTGATTGATTCGAATGCGACTTATTTTTAGCGGATCGAGTTAGTCGTCTTGCGACAAACTGTCGGTACGTACGCACGCACGGTACCGTACTAATACTGGTTATTGTAACTGAGAACATCCTACTATTCAACGGTACGATTTAGCCTGCTGCTTGCTTTTCTTGTTACCACGGCTAGAAAACAGAGAACGAAAGAGGCTCCTCGTCTCTCGACTCTGAACTACTTGAATTTGGTTTGAATCCTGGTGAAAGACATCGCCTGGACATACAAAAAAATGAGCTCAATCATTTGAACTTTAGAACATTTTACTGTCACGTGACTTACTTGCATATTCATTCACAAGTTTGAGAATCTGCCGGAAAGGCGGCCTTGCAGAAGGGTTTTCCGACCAGCATTCTTGCAACAATGACTGAAGTCTTTGGTCCCAACCACGAGGGATAGGTGGGCGGTCGCCATCGTTTGCAGCCTTACGCACAGCTACAAGACCATTTAGAGTTGGCCAAGGCGGCTTTCCATCAAGAAGATAGTAAAAAATCATCGAAAAGGAGTATACATCTACAGTTTCGGTGTACTGCTCATGTCGAAAGACCTCTGAAGCAATTCGTTAGGATGTTTCCAATTACGAGACAATTTTGGCACTGTTGAACACGCACCTGGGGCCATGAAGCGATAGGATCCTGTTTCTCCCGTCATCATGAATGTGTCATCTTTCTGCGTCACAGGGTCCGGTCTTACTGTGGCCTGAAAGGAACAAGTATGAATATCATTTGCATGCACTCTCACTTGCAAACACGAAAATCAACATACCAGCCCAAAATCTGCGACCTTTAGCACACCACTAAAATCGATCAACAAGTTTGCTGGTTTCAGGTCCCTATGAATGATTGGGGGTCGGCTAGTGTGTAGATAAAGCATGCCCTGTATAAGGTGCTTTCCGAACACAATTTGATCCTTCTTCTTCATCTTGGTACCATTCACGATATGTGCCTTAAAGACATCAAGGAGCGAACACTTCATTAGCTCTGATATCATCACCTCCATTTCTTTGGTCGCTGAGTATGCAAGCAAAAGCACAATATTGGGATGTCGTAGAGACTTGAGCACAGAAATTTCTTGCCGGAAGTCCCGCAACGCTTCCTCGTCCTGCGAAGAAGTTGCTTCATCCATCGCTGCAATAGCCTCATCAATATCTCCACCTTCTTTTATCTGCGCCATCATTTGCGAATGCAACCACCGCTTTCGAATACGTGAGCTTTGAATACACTTTGCTGCGACTACTGTTCCTCGCCATGTACATTTGTATATCTCTCCAAACGACCCCTTGCCAATCCGATCGACCATTTCCAAATCTTCAAAGTCTACTTCGAGATTTCTGACCTCTCTTCGTTTTGATGAATTTTCAATTTCTCCCTTCTGTCGGGTACCTACCATTGCCCCGTACTGCTTCAAAATGTTTGCACACTCGTGATGTTTCGACCTCTCGGCATCGTCAAGTGCACGACCACCCCAGCGATCTTCGATATTGACGTTAGCTCCACTCTTGCAAAGCAACTCGACAACGGCAGCATGCCCTTCTCCTGCAGCCACGTGCATTGCCGTTCTTTTGTCGTAGTCACCATCATCTATATTGATATTTCCCATGCTTAAGAGGAACATTATTTCGTCCAAATCTCCTTCAGCTGCTGCGTTTATAAAGTTGGTAATGTTACTCGTACTTCCAGTTTTTGCCCCAAGGGCTCGCAGGTAAGAAATCACCGTGGCATGACGATGCCGATGAGCATCGTCGAGAGGGGAACCACCCCATCGATCGCTTCTATTGATGTTCGCGCCTTTTCCAACGAGATATTTGCAAATGTCGAGTTTGCCTTCAGATGCTGCAATGTGCATTGCACTATTTGTTGGAAGAAAGAAAAAAATGGAAAGTGGAGCGTGTCCGTTAGCAATCTATTGTCCTGCAAATGAAGACATCAAACTGAACTTAAACTTACGTCCTATGTTGTCAAGTCGAATTGAAAGCTGCCTGTTAGAGATTTTCTCACGATGATGTTGAAAGACGCCTTTTTTTTAACAACCCCTCCAACCCAACGCTCATACACAGATTAACACGAATATTCATTACCTTCTATCATAATCTTTGAAGCCCAGAAGCTTCGGATTTCTATTCAGTATTTGTTCCATACCGTCTTGATTTCCTAGAGCGGCCTGTCGCAGAAGATTACACCCTTGAGCGAAAACCTCAGCAGGCATGTTGAGATCACCCCACCTTTCCGAATCGTTCAGACTTCGCAACGTCGAAGACATATCCAGCTGACTTCTAGTGCGAGTGCCCCGGGAGGGGCCTGGAATGATATCCTCAGTTTCTTCCTCTACCACGATTATTGGTTTTCGTGACATTTTCACTTGACAGGCAACAAAAGCAACAATGGGTTCTCTCTTTTTTGATTTCATGCGCCTTACTTTTCTCTATTCTGTAGCGATTGCTCATCCTTCTCAATCGCTTTGGATTTCGCAGACTCCAATTGGGCCTAAAAGAGTTTCAATGATGTTTTCCAAGGGTGAGGTGGGACTAGGGTAATCTTAATAACTATCTATTCCTAGACTTCAAATTCACTCTGTCAAATACAGAGCAGTCTTTTCAAAAGGAATGAGCTGCAACTGAGCTGCAGCTCCTTTACCAACTTCTTTCACAACCTCTTTGGTACGTAGCTTTCCACTGTCCTGCTACTGTACCTTCTTTGCATACATACTTGGGCGTTCCGATCAGTCCGTCCTTCGCTAGCCAACACCTGCAGCGATTGCTCATCCTTCTCAATCGCTTTGGATTTCGCAGACTCCAATTGGGCCTAAAAGAGTTTCAATGATGTTTTTGGGCTGACAGTTGTTACTAGCTGTTGGCCCCCAATCCCCCAGCGCAAGCGCTAGTTTCCTCCATTTGGCCATCTTGTTGCGGTCCAGGGTGTGGTGGGTGAAAAAAAACGCTAGTGCCTGATGTGATCAACAAGAACATTGGTCAAGCGTTGCATCAAAGGCTCGGACTGGGTGTGAAGATACCAAAAAACTTCATCGGAGCGCCACCGACCGAGTAGTTTGATGAGACTAGTCGGGATATTGCCTTCAAGAGCACCGTTTGTGGGAGGTCAATCGACCTCCACGAAGAGAGCAACTGCTCTCAAATATTTTGTCATCATTCGATCTGTGACATTGCAAGGGACTCCAAACTCGGAGTAGTAGGTGAACAGGGGGTGTCGCCAGTCGTGTGTTGACTCTGTCGAAGGTGTCGGACAATGGCAATCAGCGTAGCTGTTGGGTTGTCACCATTAAATGACGTGCCCAAACCGATCTTTTCGTCTGGCACCGCATTTTTTGTTTGTCAAATATCAGACCGGCGAATGTCACAAGTGACGTGTCCAGGAGGCAAAGGGGAATGACGTCGCCACAAAATTCTGCGTCGTTGATACGAAAAAACACTTGCTTCAACTTGAAGGGAAATTGCGTTCCCACCTTTGACAGCAATTCGCCAGGACGTAACAAAAAGAAAAACCCTAACCACATCAATCGATTCATTGCCTTTGCGGTATGTGTACTTGTGGGTTTTGTGGCGAGCTTTGATGCTTGCCTTAACAAGGACTTTGGCAATGGGCGTACTCGTTGTGCTGCTGGATCCTCTTTCTTCCAACTTTTCAGCAGCCGTGTCCAACAAAAGTCCATTGTGCCTGGTGCATATCGGTTCATCCTCGGATCGAGCAGTCCCAATGAGGAAAAGGCCTGGCCCACCTGGCGCATGGCATCTTCAGCCGTTTGACCCCGGACCTGTCTCTTACTGGGGGCAATTTTTCCACGTCACCATTGGGTTCCAAAAAGGAGGATGATGAGCAAGGGATCGTTGACCGCTGACAATCCTGGGTCGAGGGTGAGGCTGTCGCAGAAGGCAACCCATGTGGTCCAGACAGAGTGTGCCTTTGCAACTCTTGAAGGACAGACTCCGCGTTCGATTCCGAGTTCAACAGCACGG